GAATATTCAGCAACCTTATGAGTAGTGTATTACGTTAGGTAGGTGTCAGAAAATGATCTTCCTTGCCAGCACAACTTTTTCTCGAGTTTTGACCAGTATATTCCGAAGCAAAATTAGTTCAGTAGTGCTTCGACAAGGACGGCTCTTTTAAATGTGGGAATATCTAGGAAATCTCGCATAAGTGAACTTCATGGTATGGCGTAAGTTTCAAAAAAGGATAGATCTCTGAAGGATCTGCGATCATCTTTGTTGTGAGTTGTGATCTAATGTCCAACAACCTTAAAAGAAGTCAACAACTTAGTGATCTCTTTTTTTGGAAGGGCTAGGAATGAAAAAGATAATTAAATCGACTTTTCCTTCAGTCCACTAACTGATCAACCGATAGAACGGCAGTGAACTAATCAATCCACATTCATTGTCCCTGACAACAGAAAAATTGGTATGAAACTGAAGATGTGATGGTCAAGAAGATATTTGGGGTCTGTCTGTTTTCGATTCTACATCCTTTTTATTTTCTATTCAGTATCTTTACATAGGTGTATTCAGACACAATGTCAAATCAAGTAAGAGTGAATCAGAATGTGATTGACCTAGTCCAGTTAAACCGGTAATGTAGTAGCGATTGACAAAACCCAAAACTGACAGAACTACAGTGATGAAACACGGTGATTACCTTTCCAGCACGACAGAGTACATTATCAGTGGACAGTGGTTTCTAGCAGCGGTGGGAAGAAATAGGTGATTCTGGTTCATTTTGTGGATACCGATTCAATAGGAACAGACCTCGAGTTAACAAAAAAAACAGTTGTGTTGACGGTCACTTCGTAAACAGCTGAGAATTCATGGCACCTGAAGGGATAGACTAGAAGTGGCCTTTCCCGAGAGCTTGGAGTAAACACTGGGAAAGTGAGATTAGCTCGGTATGGAGGCACGCTTTGACGCCAATCCAAATGATGTGCCACTGATAAAACGGACTAGAGGTGTAAAACGAAGAGGACTCCTAAAATACAACTCGTCAAGCTGTATTCAAATGAACAGAATTATACTTCTTTATTAGTGAGGCAATTGGAGGTTACAGAAAATAAGCACCACGAACTGTATTCAGGACCCATGCGCAACCAAGGGTGTAGACGGGTTTTAATCTCCATCAAAGGTAAGAACCACACTGTTAAACGAAAAGAGCACATTACAATTTGGTCTCCCTTTCAAGAGGAATTGTTCATAAAGTATGCTTCAGAAAATGGCCCGCTTAAATGTGGTTTATTTGGTGCCGTAAGACTCAATACAAGCCACATACTAAACGTTAATCTTTGGTAACCTGATGTTTCTCAATATCAACAGGCTTTAATTCGACTTAGTATTGTAGGGTGAGTGGGCAGGCCGATTTCTGGGCATCTCACATTTTATAGTCCACCAAAATTAATTTTCTCCTCGATTAAAAATATGCCACATTTTCAGTTTTTAAATTCATTTTTTATTCCATCTGCTAAAAAAGATTATCGTCCATGTAAAACACCTCTCAGGTACACGTTCTGTTATTCATTTGAACGCGTCTTTCCCTGTCAGCTCACAATTTTGCCGTGGTACACTTAATGACCTGTCCCACTCTCCCGCCGCTTGTCTGTTTCGTCAACAAAACAAGTTTTGTCTGCCAAATGCACAAGGGACGCAAAAAGCATCCTTTGTCCGGCTGAAAGCCCAAAAACACAAAGTGTGAGACTTTCTATTTCGAAGACCCGCTGTTTTCCTTCCTATCTTGTTTCTACAGGACCGATGTGTGGAACTGGCAGACAGGTTCCTGTCAACAGACTCTTTCGATTTCAGCTGAATTATTGATCAAGCCGACGGAGATGAGGACAAAAAAGGAGAGGCAGGTAGAAAAAGGAAGACAGTCCTACAGTTTGAGTACAAGCGACACTCACTGTTCAAAAGTACCTAACGGTTGGGTTGGCGCAATATGTAGCACGTAGAGATGTACCCAAATATCAAGAAGGTTCAGGCAGGCTTTTCTTGGTGTCACAGTTTTACGGAATTTTCAATGATTTAAGAGTCGGCCCCTCCCCCTCCCCGCTCCTCAATTTTGTTTTCTGAGGTAATTGTAACACCGGGAAAGACATTCTTAAAAGCGACATAGGAATTGAATAGTACGAATTTCGAAGCCATATAGCCCAGTGAAGCCAAACGAACAACAATCATAAATGACCATGTGCTAAAATTTATTTGGCGTTCCTTATCGTGGTTTGTTGATGTTCAAGTGAGTGAGGCGAAAATGCTGGTAGGTTGTTGGAGTATCTCAAAAGTGTCACGGCATTACCATATTCTTTCCGAATAGGACGTTTTTACAGAAGACAACAGCTGAAAAATATGACGTGAGGTACGTGGTCCTGGGATTCATCTATCCTATGACGGAAGAAAACACCGGTTAAGAGCAACTTTTGGACAGCAGTTGGATACCTAGAAAAAAAACAGTGTACTCATTGCCAGTCAACGTCTATTGTACATTATGATGCCTCTTGTACTCAGTAGAATTTAAGAATGAATAAATATGGGCTTGCTTTTGAAAACGAACGATCGAAAGCCATAAAAACGCACACGAAATCTAACTGGTTGATCGTGTAACCAAGGCGCCTACCTTTGAGAAACAGTCATAACTCCTATAATAAGATTTACACGGTGCATATATAGGAGACGAGAGAGAGAAGAACAGACGTTCAGCTGTGGCATTCTTTTGGTGCCTAGCTGCCATGCCACCCGAAGGTTGCACGAGGGCTGGGATATTGCCAGGTTGCCCAAGCCTAGACAGGGAAAGTCGAGAGTCAGAGGTCGGGCTTGAACCACGGACCTTCCGGTCAGTAAATACGCGCTGTAACCACTTGGACAATCTTGCCCGTAGGAGACATGAGCAAACGAAGAATACTTAATAGTATTAATAGTTAATAGTTCTACGGTAGCGAAGCATCGGCGTTGAACACTGATGTCATGCTGTCGATGATGACGATGATAATAGTTGGCCAAAATCAGTCGCCCAAGTTGGAATAAATATTTAGTCTTCAAAACCTGGAACATTATTAGTCAGTGAAAGACGATATGTCCCCTGAGAAGTCCACATCCAACCATATTAGTTCATTCGTGTCGGTACTTTCCTTTTATTCAAGAGGCTGCTGTAATTACGTACTTCCGGGGAGAATGGCAACCAATACCCGCCTGAATGTTGTCCTGAATCAGATATAGTCAACACAGGACACTAGGGTTGGTGGAAAATAGCCCTGATCAGCAGCCGCTGATTTCACTGAAATGGTTGATTCACGTTGGCGCAGGCAAACTCATTTAGTGGTCTGACGTCTCTTCGAGTACCCAGTAAGCTACTGTCCCCGAGTTCTTGTCTCAAGCTTTTCAAGCAACTCGTCTGCACAACAATGTAGTTTTTTTTAGAGACTCAGCCATTTCTCTGCCAAATCTCTTGTTTACGAACAACACGACCGGACAAAGGCCGTGCGGTGTTTTATTCGGTACTACATTCGAGATGCCGCAGTGTTGTTCCCCAAATGAAGCTGCACACAAGGTTGCTGGAAACTCTTCGACGTCTCACGACCGGTTTCACCTTCTTGAGGCTAATCAGGTACGCTCAGTCTCCGAGCTTTCGTCAACATCATAACCTGCTTGAACCCAAATTGTTAGGATACACCAGCTGCGGAGGTTATGCTGCTTTGCTACGGCAGTATCCTCTCAAAAAAAATATATATATCGGATCGATTGATCCTATCGCCACGCAGAGATTGGCTGATCGTGTCACAAGAAGAACTAAGGCCACAAACCTAGTGCGTTCGGTCTAGGATGATAAATTTCCTCTTGTATGAACTCAAGGCTATCATAAACTTAGACAGTCCAAGTCCATTTAATATTGATACATTTTTAGGATGTGAAAGATAAAAAACTGCTAAAATAGCACCTTCAGAGCTTGGAGCTTGATCAGTTTTTTTTTAAAAAAAAGAAGTACAGTTTGCCAGGTAGACTTCAATCAACGAAAATATCTACTTGTTTGCTACTTGCAAAAGGGTGAAACAAAAGGGGTCAAGTTCAAAGCTCATCCGACCGCCAACCGACAGATAGAAGTCCGAGAAGGCAAGATCAGCGATCATATGAAAGCCAAACAATCAGAGCGCAGGAATAGCACACATTCAATAGCGTTCGAACAGCATAATTCAAGACTTACCCTTGCTAACAGAGACAAATACAGGCGACCCTCAATCGCATCCTCACTGACGCACCACATTTCACCTAACACAGAGCTAACGATTTCAACTTTACTGGTGATGACATGTTTGCAACCAAACCTCCAAGCTCAGCAAACAAAACGCATAACCATCTGTCCAATACTCATTATATGTACTCACTTGCACAGATTGCTCCACGGGAATAACTTTGCAGAAGTAAGGCACTAGGCAAGTTTGTTTCGTCAAATTGATCGTTCGCTGAATCAGGTCACGCACAGGTAGACTAAGCGCCGGAGACCAGCGCGGCTCCGATGGGGCATATTCAACCTGACTATCGATCGAGCTGCGCGATGGCGTTTCCGGAGGTTCTTCATCCTCTACCGTACAAGCCCGGCCAATCGAAGCTAATGAAGCGTGCATGCGAACGTGAAATCCGTTGACAACGATTCATGCACAAAATCGAACGACGAGCACTGGGAGAAGAATTGCTCGTGCGCGTAATCTGATTTCACGTTACAATGATCGAGGCTAAAATAGAACGATATACATCCACGATAAACTTTTGCTCGCCGCTCAAATTACCTGGTAAAAGGCAGTGTGATCATCTTCATAGTTAGACTCATTCGAAAACTCACTTCTATTTGCATATAAACCCTGCGGCAAAAATTAACCAGGTGACTCAGTCTGGGAAAAACGAATTCTAAAAATTTTGTCCATGGACATCGAAGCCACAGTGCATTTGTTTGAAAGCCTAAATTAAATTTTAAACTTCTATGGAGAAAAATGTTGGTAGCTCAGGTGGCGTAGATGGTGGTCGTTGACTTGTTCGCTGAGCTGGGCAATTTGGTTGCAAACGTTTCATCACCAATCGAGGTGACATCATCAGTGCGTTATTGTGGAGCATAGCAGTGCGTAGCGGTGGGTTGGTGGTGGTTTTAAGCTTGGCCACATATTAGATGCTAGAGGATCAGGAATGTCATCTTTCATAAAAAGATCACGTACAATGAACAGGATGTGGTATTGTTCTAAAAATTGTGACTGCTGTTCAGTGTGATATCCATGGCTACACATCTCTAACCCAGACATGTCATCTGGATGAAAGTTTGATTCATTTGTGTTTCCTGAACTGTTCACTATCTGATTGGGAACAAGAGTTAAAATCTTTTAATCATGTGCACCAAGCAGGATCTGTTCTACTGGTGATTCAGCATTCAAAATTTCTTTTCGGAACGAAACATTCCACCTACGTATCAGACTTCTGATAAGACCTTCGGATAATGCCCATACAAAGTAGGGCCTTGACAAAACAGCAGTCGGGCGAGCATTCAAACAATAAAACGCCACGTGACTTTGGGGTGGCCAAACCGATGGCATTCTTCTTTTGGCCTGTTAGTATACGGAACTCTTCACTGAGTATCAGGTATTAAACTTTGTAACCTCTCATGCTAGATTATCTATTTCCCAAACTTCGGAGTAGACGCCAAATGACTATGGACAAGAATCACTAGAAAGACATAAAGAATAATTCATTTTTGAAGGTCGAATACACAAATTTGATGGCCTGTTAGTGGTCACTGCACATTTCATGAATTGATTTATTTTATGGGGCGTGTAAAAGACATGATAAATATCAGAATCGCCAAACGGGTCGCCCAACATTTATAGGAATAGGAAATCAGGTTTCACTTGTCCGCGAAGATTTTTGAATATTATGCCAAATGGTTTGGGGTCCACGAGGGCTTCCATCGACCGTTTCAACCTTTCCCACATCACACCACCCGCCCCAGTGGAATACATGCGGGATATGTAACGGAATGCACTGACCAGCTTAAAAGGCATGTTTTTCTATCCTCCAAACAAGGGTACAATTTGAGTTCGGATGTCATGCAACCTTGGCTAGCTTCACTCCCGAAACGAGTAGGCAGGTTGTCTTTCATGATCACTGAAACATGTATAGCTATCCACTTCATGATTGCTCTCGGCGAATCTGACTAATCAAACTGCTCACTAGCTGTTTGCGGCTAGATACTGTGGTCTTCAGCTAATCACCGAAGGGTCGCGGGTTCAAATCCCCTTGAAGATTCGTGAGTTGAGCAGACCTGATAATTTCCAACAAGGAAAAACAACTACATTGTGCTTTTCATTTTTTGTCATAGGTAGACTTCTCCTTCAGGATGACATCACGATAGAATGATCCTGCATGTGTCTGGCGTAGATTGTTCACCGAAGGTTACAGCTGTTTGGCCTACCAGATTAAACACTCCGATCTAGGCTCCAGGGAAAAAGCAAGGAGTTACTCATAGAAAGAGTGACCTATACCACCCGTACGTCATATAATAGATTAAGCAAACAGTATAAGTTGCACTCTGCCACGAATTTACGACTCTTTTTGCTAGTTGGCTTGTTTAGGATGAGCAAAAGTCACTCTACCAAGGGTAAAAACTTAGTATGTGATAGCTGCATTACACTCATAATTTATCTTTGAAAGAAATGCCAATCGAAACCACTTGGAATGCCTTCCAACATCGGGGCATCGGAAAGAAACAAACGGACAACGTTAGTCTCTGAACACCGTAGGGTTGTACGTGGGTTCAGCGACGTGGAGTTTCCGGACGAAGCACCTCATTCCCCAACAGTCTTAACCCAATGATTAATGTATTTTTTACTCGATACTTTGCAGTGTATGCGTTCACAAGCTCCCCAATGAACCTCCTCGCATTCTCAAGACTCGCAAACTTTGTACTACTGAAAAGGCTAATAGTTGCGTTGTGTAGCTATTGATTGAATTAGCCCGGAGTCATTCCACAAAACAACCAATTAATTGGCTTAGTTCAAACCGAAAACAAAACATCGAATCACTAGCACTACAGTTTTGCACGGTGGCAAGGTGATCCCGGCCCCATTATGGTGGATTCACTTCACAACAGAATGAATTGCACGAAAGAGGGGACGGACAATTAGTGAAGTAGAAGCCGTTTTTCATTCGATTTTCGCTTACATGTGGGGTTGTTCAAGAAGAGANTCAAGAAGAGAAAACAACGCAAAATAATCCACTTTTAGGTAGCTACTTTAATTGGTATTTTAAGTAGTATGCCGAACGGTACAAACGTTACCTTCTGCTGAATAACGGACAGCCGTTGTGCTTCCTGATGGTTTCGCTGAAGGGGGTTTTGTAAACACCAGTCAAACGAATCAAATGGAGCAACCTGTGGATATTCGCATCATGTATAGTCCTCCAGTTTCGCTGGTCTTTTGGGCTTACCATGATCTCCAGCCTGCAGGAACACCCGGGTTCGCTTGCTGTTAGACAAAGCGCCGAGTTGTAGTTGCAACCAGAAAAAATTCGTCGCTGGGCCTCCAAAAAAGCCATGGCAATATATTAGATCACGTCAGGAAGAGACCTGAACTAGCAGTAGTGTGGCCGCTTACGTACTTCACTCATGCATCAAGCTTTATTAGGAGAAATCCCTCCACACTATATCCGTTGATGATTCGAAGTCCTACCAACACAATCTCCTGGATCTACAAGTCTGGAATGGCGACTTATTCTTTAAAAATCCCAATGAAACAAAACTTTTGCCAGGCACTGTGGTTTTTTAGCCAGACTTTCAAGTTAAAGGTCTTGAATAAGGCTATATCTATGCTGAGACGCTCCAGCAGTATCTTAGTTCGGGTTAAATTATGATTTCTACGAACAGAAATATCCTCGTGCTATGGCAGTTGTCCCTGGATGGCCTTACTTGCTGAATACAACAGAGCAGTTTGGAAAAATAGGCTAATGCCTACATCTTTCCTCTCCGCATATTTTTAGTTCCGTTGTTCACTCCATTAATAATATTCCCCCGTCCACACTAGCGACCTCATTCACCTTGCATCTGGCTTGACTGTGCCATCGGTTGGTCTGAGTTTGTTGCTGGTGCAACCTGGACGGCAGCTTCTTTTCTTGGTACACTGGACTGATGTTTAATTGAAATAATAATTCAGGATTCAAACACGGTCATCAACACCGTCATTGACAGTAACGTCAGACGAGAATAATAGTGCTTCAGTGCCGTACCGCCATGTCAGTTTATTTCAATAAAGCCTTATAATGGACAGAAGAATGCATGGTGCGGGGAGAAAGACCATGGCTTGTCTATTATAGACATCCAAGGTGCCTACACCCCTAACACTCAATCAGAAAATTTGGGTAGAAGCTGACAAAATGAACGCCAACAACATTGACTAGCCCCTATGTCATTCAGTGTTTCTAGCCAAGCATATGGACCTCACCCTGGAAGGCAAACAGCATCAGTAGCACCCAAACGTTTCTTTTGCCTACTAAGACATTTCCTCTCCTAATTTAAGTTTCCACCATTCCAAATTAGGCCCAGGAAACAGCGTTTATGTCAGCGGGCAGTAACTTGGTATGCACACCACGCGGTTAAACCAACCTCCGTTGTATTAATGGATGTAAATTTGAGTGAAGTACTATAGTATTCACCAGAAACTTGTTCACTGGTTAACTCACTGATCGCAGCCTATCACAGCTATGTATCTGGTCAGAGACCTGAAGACGTCTCAGATTCTCCGTTCAACCCTTGAGGTCACACAACAGTACAGTCTAATGGACCCGTTCTTTGAGACCCAGTGAGATGCTGTTTTCGTGCCACAAGTAACACAAATAAGCAGAAGTAGTTTTGGCCTTCAAACTTCGTGCGTTTACTTCGTCTGTCACACTACCATCAGGTCTAACGAAATACGAATATTGGTACACAACTTCTCCTGCCACTCATTTAATCCTCAGAGGCATGTTCAAAAACAGTAAGTCCTGAAGCACAAATTTGTACTCCGTGGGCGCGTAGCAGGTGCCAAAGACCGGACGACTTCGATGAACATTTTCACTGATGATTGTGCTTCTTTTTCCTATTTAAAAGTGAGAACAAAGTAGACCACATATCCTGAGTCCACAAGGTTCATGCTCGGAGGGATCTGAAACCTGAAGGACTTCCCAGTGCTCACCTCATTATCTTATCAGTAAAGAAACTAAACGGATTTGGATAGAGTGGACACCTTGGCCGAACACCAATGCTTACGAGAAGGCTTTTGATGAGCTCCCCATATATTTGTACGCATCCATAATTACGTGAGTGCCAACAGTGTCTGATGTGCACGAAAGTCTGGGACATACATTGTTGCATAATTGTTTAAAAGTGCTAACTGGCTAGTAGACCCGGATGCACTATTGAAATCAAGGGTGACCGAACGTTCAAGGCTTCTATACGAATGCGGTTGCTTTAACATCTGACACAGTGCAAAGATATGGTTCACATAGCCCCTTCCTGACCGCAACCTTGCCTTTTGTCCTCGGTTTCCATTTTTATGCCCCTTCGTAAGAAGGCGTAGAATAAATGACAAAGTCTGG